ACCTTTGAAATTCCTGAGTAATTCAATGAAAAGAGGATAATTATGTATGTTCAATTGGAATTTCATGGCTAATTTGTGTCTGCAGAGAAAGCCAGTTACATAAATCACAACAATAAATTACATCTGAATTGTTTTCTCCATTTTCTTATCATCAAAGCAAGTTTAATGGAGTGTCAGAGCTGTCCAGAACCTCCCCAGATGCTGATATCATTTGGACTGCCCTGTGTTACAACACAGCTTTTAGATAAACTTCTGCATAGCAGGTTGTAGACAAGTACCTAGGCTTTATTTGGAACATAAATTGACCAGATGCAGATTTTATTATCAGCCTAATAGTTAACAATTTCTGTAAATTCTGTCATTCTTAGGAGGGTAAAATGCAATTTTGTTATGTAATAATTGCATAATGGTCTCAGACTTGTGAATTATTTTTTGTTTGTTGTGAAGAACAGTGCATATGCTCTCCACGGATACAAAATTGGTTGCCAGGCTTAGTCTATTAAGGATGAAATTCTGCTTCAAAATATGCACAAAAATCTTCTGTCAGAGTGCTCAGTGTGTATTCTTGACTGCTGTGGAGTAAGGGAGATAAATGCATCATATCTCCAGCAATAATGGGAATTAGATCCCCAGACTTCAGGATGCTAGTGACAGTTATTTAAGAAATCTCAGGTGCAAAAATGAAAAAAATCTGACAACTTCATAGGTCCTTCAAGGTATCACACTGGTAATTGACCAATCAAAATGAACTTAGTCAATTGTAGTTCCATACATAATAAAGAAATATTTTTTTTATTGTGAGAAATTTTGTATTTTCCCTTATTCTATTTTTACATTTTTGGTATCTGTGCTTAGGATATTTTATGTACTTTGTAAAATATTAAAGGTTTTTGACAGGAACTATTTCTTTCGGGGCATAGGAGGCCACTTCCTGGGGTGCACACAGGATGTTTATAAACACATTGAATACACGTGGTTTTGAGGGTATTCCTGTTTGCGGATGGAAAAAATCAGAAAATGCCGTGTAGGTACCCTATTTTTTGGTGTCAGCTGATGTGACTGGTAACGTCTAACACTTCCTGCTAAATATTTTTTCATGAATTCGAATACCTGATTTTTAATGATTTTTTATTCTATATAGAATTACATAGTGAAAACAATTACCGGTGTGATACCTATAACATAACCCAGTCACGGTTTTCGGGAAAATTATTTCCGGTATGGTTTTTTGTAATATAACGCATATTCGATCCCGATGCAATATATAGGATGCTGACAACTGATTTGAAGTTCATCTTCGCCATTGCTAAGAATGAATGATGACCCTGTGACGTCAGAGGTCAAGAAATAAGTATTTATTTACGCTAAAGTATAAATAAAAAGTTGATTTTTACCTGTTCAAATTTGTATATTTCAACAAGAAATGTAAAATTCGTTCATTTTTTTTTTAATTTCGTTCTTTCATCCAATGAACATCATTTGTTTTTCCCACCCTTACACACTAAGCATTCCGGAAAAATAATACTTATAGGAAACTTCTAGTAGAGTAGGTTTTGGGACTTCCTGTCTGTTCATCTGCCCATGTAACACAGTTTTGTAAACACTATGGTGTGTGGCAAATAATACGATCAAAAGCCATAATCGGTGTCTTAATATTAGAACATTCAGGCGAATGAACGACTTTCACGAAGGTTAGGGTATTTAATAGTTATAACATGATAAATTAATAGATTGCGTTTTCATGGCCTGTTAGCCACCTGTAGAACTAGTGACCTAGTTAGCATGTGTGTATGCACAGCACTTGAATTTCTCAATAATTATTTCTTACGCTAATCTTCCGAGGGTAAAAGGAATCCCGCCCATAAAGACAATCACGTACAGTGAAAAAAAAATCCCTAACTTGTTGACTTGCAGTTTTACAAGAAATATGACCCTGGTTTATAGCCATTAGGTCACAGAAAAAAATTTCCCAGTTACAAACCAATATAATCTAGTCTTTGAACAACATAACCTAGTCACTGTGAAACTTTACTCAGTCACTGGAAAACCTAACCTAGTCACTGTTCAACATATCAATCATAACCAATTCACTGTTCAACTGTGAGATAATGAACACACATAATTTAGTAGATATTCATGGTTTTCTAAATTTATTTAAATCCTATTTTACAGCTTTGAAATACACTGTAAAAGATGATAAAAAACTTACTAACTATAAAACTTTCTGGCAAAAATAGGTTGTTATATTTTAATTTTTTTTGGCAATCACTTCAATATGTTACAAGTGAATCCCTCAAAACTGCACTGTTCTAGCTTTTCTTTCTCTTTTTTTTTCTTTTTTGTTCTCAATTGCGAGCTTATTAATAAATGAAACAACATAACCCAGTCACTGTTTAACAAAACCCAGTCACTGTTTAACAAAACCCAGTCACTGAACAACATAACCCAGTCACTGTACAACAAAACCCAGTCACTGGGAAACCTAACCCAGTCACAGTTCAAAATAACCCAGTCTCTCAACAGCATAAACCAGTCACTGAAAAATATAACCCAGTTACTGAGAACCAAATCCCAGTCCCTGAATAACATAACCCAGTCACTGAAAATCATTACCCAGTCACCGAGCAACATAACCCAGTCTCTCAACAACATAACCCAGAGAGAAACATAACCCAGTCACTGTACACTGAGGAACATAACCCAGTCACTGTTCAACATAACCCAGTCACTGAACAACATAACCCAGTCACTGAACAACATAATTCAGTTACTGAACAACATAACCCAGTCACTGTTCAACATAACCCAGTCACTGTTTAACATAACCCAGTCACTGAACAACATAACCCAGTCACTGTTTAACATAACCCAGTCACTGTTCAACATAACCCAGTCACTGAACAACATAACCCAGTCACTGTTCAACATAACCCAGTCACTGTTCAACATAACCCAGTCACTGAGGAACATAACCCAGTCACTGTTTAACATAACCCAGTCACTGTTCAACATAACCCAGTCACTGAACAACATAACCCAGTCACTGTTTAACATAACCCAGTCACTGTTCAAGATAACCCAGTCACTGTTTAACATAACCCAGTCACTGTTTAACATAACCCAGTCACTGTTCAACATAACCCAGTCACTGAGGAACATAACCCAGTCACTGTTTAACATAACCCAGTCACTGTTCAACATAACCCAGTCACTGAACAAAACCCAGTCACTGTTTAACATAACCCAGTCACTGTTTAACATAACCCAGTCACTGTTCAACATAACCCAGTCACTGAACATAACCCAGTCACTGTTTAACATAACCCAGTCACTGTTCAACATAACCCAGTCACTGAACATAACCCAGTCACTGTTTAACATAACCCAGTCACTGTTTAACATAACCCAGTCACTGAACAACAAAACCCAGTCACTGTTTAACATAACCCAGTCACTGTTTAATATAACCCAGTCACTGTTTAACATAACCCATTCACTGAACAACAAAACCCAGTCACTGTTTAACATAACCCAGTCACTGTTTAATATAACCCAGTCACTGTTTAACATAACCCAGTCACTGTTCAACATAACCCAGTCACTGAACAACTAAACCCAGTCACTGTTTAACATAACCCAGTCACTGTTCAACATAACCCAGTCACTGAACAACAAAACCCAGTCACTGTTTAACATAACCCAGTCACTGTTCAAGATAACCCAGTCACTGAACAACATAACCCAGTCACTGAACAACATAACCCAGTCACTGTTTAACATAACCCAGTCACTGTTTAACATAACCCAGTCACTGTTCAACATAACCCAGTCACTGAACATAACCCAGTCACTGTTTAACATAACCCAGTCACTGTTTAACATAACCCAGTCACTGAACAACAAAACCCAGTCACTGTTTAACATAACCCAGTCACTGTTCAACATAACCCAGTCACTGAACAACATAACCCAGTCACTGTTTAACATAACCCAGTCACTGTTCAACATAACCCAGTCACTGAGGAACATAACCCAGTCACTGTTTAATATAACCCAGTCACTGAACAACATAACCCAGTCACTGTTTAACATAAGCCAGTCACTGTTTAACATAACCCAGTCACTGTTCAACATAACCCAGTCACAGAACAACATAACCCAGTTTCTCAACAGCATAACCCAGTCACTCAAAACATAACCCAGTCACTGTTTAACATAACCCAGTCACTGAGGAACATAACCCAGTCACTGAACAACATAACCCAGTCACTGAACAACATAACCCAAGCATTCAATATGAATTAATGTGCGTAATTTGGTCTCCATATATAAGGCATATATACAAAAGTGGTAATTAGGAAAATAATTTATTTGACACAATCATTATTTGGAACATAAACTAATGTTAAGCCTTTTCTAGAGCTCTGCTCCCAATTTTTATACAAATTGGGTTTAGTCACTGAGGAACTTAAAGATAAAAATAACGTAGATCAATTAATCCTAGGGGAAAAAAATGGCCACACAATATTAAGACCATACAAATGTATTACATGGTACTATTAAAGAAATAATGCATGGCTGCACAAGTGTTCCTTTTAAATTACACCCAAATCCAATGGTATGAATTCTGCATGTGAAATTCATTTCACTTGTCAGAAAAACAAAACATTAATAGATGTTTTCAAAGTCAAATTACATCAAATTTTATCAAATTCTTCCTACATTTAAACTAATGTTTCTAGTAGGAATTAATGATAAAATAGTCTGGGTCTGGTGTGGATTTGATTTGAATGAAATCACAATTATTAGAGTTTATGAGTTCATCTAGAGTAACCAAGTACAATTGATCAGCCCTGACAGAGTCCATTTTTACATTATAACAATATTTCATCAGATGGTGATATATTATAACTGTAAAGAATCTGCAAACAAATATTGTTCAACATGTCATACAGCAATTGATGTAGAACATCTTTTGCAATGCTATCACAATCGAAATATTCCAATATAACAAATTTGCAAACTCAATCAATCGAAACATAAATTTGTTATTTCAATGGATAGAAAAGTTTTTCAGCTTCTCTATATGTTATGTTCTTGACAACAGAAGTGATAATGATTCTTGCTTCTACAAGCAATACATCCTTAAAGTATCTAACTCCTTCATTCAATCTCTGTCCTGTCCTAAAAGAGAATGAAAATAATTAAGGATAAAGTGTTCTATGGAGATCAATCAAATCGAGAAAAAATCAGATGTGAATTATGATTAAATTATGGATATGAAGAGACATATGGTTTACTTTAAACGTTAACAATTTAGTTACAAAAATAACTCCTGACTGACATTACACAATATGCCTCTCCATTTTCTTCAACAAGGATGAATAAAAAAATATCATACTCATCTTCCAGTGTTGCCATAAGCTTTCCATTATTGCAGTTTTTCAAACTAAGGTAATATCCTGGAGGACTGAAGAGACCACTAAAATCGACAAATTTTTTTTATTAAAAAAGTACAATGAAGAATGCTGAACATGACTTAGTTGTCTTTAATTTGTTGAAAAGGGGGAGTGGAATTAACTTGGTGCAAAATGTGTGCTTCTTTTATTTGATATTTACAAGCAAAACAAAATTTTCACAACTTTTGGTATCTGCCCTATATAATCTTTATAAGAGGAATATTATGTGTGAATGAAATTTTCCCCTACAAACAGTCTCGCTAATATGCAAAAATAAAGTTATCACCAAAAAAAAATTATTTACAGTACATACAATATTCTTTAATGGGTACATTATGTCTACCTCTTGAAATCAATCCTTAGTAAGCAGATGTACTGATGATGTATGTCTAGAAATTTATTTATAAATCTTAGTCGGACTTATATGAAGTCTTGATGACAATTTACATCACTCCAAGAGTTAAATATTCACAAAGCTCTAAAGGTGACAGGTTAAGATTCATCTTCCGTGGTAAGTTTATATTGCTATATAATATAGAATAGCAATTTAAATTGAGGTATAAACTTACATGATTGTTTTTGGTTTAAACAAGCCAAATTCTTCTAAAACAAGAGCACTCATTTCAGCCCATCTCTATTGGAAGGGAAAAAAATAGGCAAATAAACTTGTTTCCTTCTCTAACACACACACACACATACACACCCACATGCATATATAATACATACAGTCAAACCTCATTATCTCCAACTCGATGGAACCGAGAATAAACTTCGAGATATCTGAGGGTTCGAGATATTGGGGGTAAAATACTTAAAATATTAAGTGCTTGGGACTTCCAAATCACTTCGACATATCCATAAGATTCGAGATATCTGTGTTTGAGATACCGAAGTTCAACTGTATATATATATATATATATATATATATATATATATATATATATATATATATATATATATCATGAGTAGAGAAAGACTCTGTTCAATAAAAAAGAAAAACAATCATGTTATAAATCAGTATCCATAACAACACCTGCACATGAGCAAGATTATGCAGGACTAGCCTTGTAAAATACATTGTATGCTTATACATTAAAATCTACAGAGAGTACATATGGATGTTACCTCTTTATGAAAAAGTTTATTTCTTTCTTCCATTCCTTTCACAGAGTTATTCATCACACTATGGTCGGTCAAGTCATTCCTGTCAATCCATCGCAGATGTCTCCAGTGTGGTTCATAACACCTGTAAAAGGAATATTATAACACTCGATCAAGTTAATTTAATTTTAACCACTTGTTACAGTACATCTTGTAAACCAAAGTGCATGAAACAGTGTTAAACTATGAAAGACATACCATAAAATCTCTTTAATTTCCAATGAATGGAATCTCATTTTATTGCCCATAAATTTAATGAAGACAATTTAAAAGTAAATAGGCTGCTTTCAATGTTTATTATTTACCTCTTATCACCCTCTTCTAATTCCAATATTTCTTTCAGCTTTGTTTTGATGTCTTTTGCAAACTGTTAAAATTTTTAAATAATTATAGGAAATTTTCTCCTGAAAATCTCTCTGCCATAAACAGGTAGTGTTATAGAACTATTACTAATCACTTAGAGCAGCCTTACTATCCCCTTTTTAACTTTTATCTTCATTGTTGAGCTTATATATATATATATATATATATATATATATATATATATATATCATGCTGTTTATATATCTAAACATCAATTCTTAATAAATTTCTCTAACTTGACCTGAAGATTGAGTCAGTTTCAGAAAGTGTTGATATGGATTCAGAAAACTGATCAGAAAGTCAGATCACACCATATGATTGTGTGAAATAAACAGTAAAATTGAGTGATAAATAAGACAGAATTAAATTCTGAACCCAGGGCTGTTAGATAACCATGCATGCAACAGATACTAAAAATTACCAGAGTTGCTATATTGTAGCCTTGTATGTTTCCTGTTCCCTTGTTTATGGGAAGATCCATCCTTGGCCATTCGCACAAAATGTTAACCAGTTTCATGGACTGTTCAGTCTATAAACAAAAAATGTTAATTTTTCATGAACAATATAGACAAACCTTATTGTTATACTTTTATGTTAAGTCAAATTTGATTGTTTTAAAAACATTTGTTAAAAAGTACTGCTACCCTACCGCATGTGTAAAGTACGCCCTCCACGTAACATTACATAGCAATTGATAGACATTGCATGACGACGGGTAACAGTGCAAAATTGGGCAGAATGTATGCCCATACAGTTTACCGTGGGTTCTTTTTTTAAAATGCTTTATTCTAAATAGATTTGGTATAACAAAGGAAAATATTTACATTTTTAAGGTTATCCCTTGAAATCCATTACTGCCTGGTGTCCATCATGTTATCTTTAAACTATTTACATTATAAAAAATTAGAGGCCCATGGGCCACAACACTCACCTGAGTAACTTTGGCCCTGCTGTTCTTCACCAGACTTTCCCCAATGTTATACCTATTGTGGCTCACCCTACCCCCCAGGAGTATGATTTTAACAATTTGTAATCTTCACTACTCCAGGATGCTTCCACATAAATTTCAGCATATCTGGCTTAGTGGTTCTTGAAAAGGAGATCTCCAAGGATTTTTTCATATATATTTCAATGTAAAAATTAGATTCCTATTGTGGCTCCACTCTATCCTAGGGGGTTCATGATTTTAACAATTTAGAATCTACACTACTCCAGCATGTTTCCACATGAGTTTAAGCTTTTCTGGCCCAGTGGTTCTTAAGAAGATTTTTTAATGACCCCACCCTATTTTTGCCTTTTCTTGATTATCTCCCCTTGTAAGGGGGTTTGCCCCTTATTTTAACATTTAATTTCCCCTTCACCAAAGGATGCTTTGTACCAGCTTTGGTTAAAATTGGCCCAGTGGTTCTTGAGAAGAAGATGAAAATGTGAAAAATCAACAGACGGACAACGGGTGATCAGAAGAGCTCACTTGAGCTCAGGTGAGCTAATAATACGTTTTTAGGGTAACATGTGAAATTGTTATCCCTTGAAAACCATTGATGACCTCAGCTTTGCATCAGTCAGCAATGGTTTTCACAGGATATCAATTTAATGTGTTACCCTAAAACATCATGTTTTATTTTTATAATGTAAATAGTTTAAAGATAGTATGATGGACACCAGAAGAATTTGTTTCATCAGAAATGCTCATTGGAATATTTAATGGGTCAGGTGACATTGAAAGTAACCAGAAAGACATTGGAATGCATTTATATACTAAAGGTGTGAATTGCATGTATATTAATTATTATTATTATACTCACTTCAGCTTTTACACTCTTGTGCAACCAGGCATTGCATTCTGATATCTGTTCTGAAGCCTTCTGTTTAGTGGAAAAAATATGATGAATTAATGACTAGTACATTTAATAAGAATTTTCATTTGTATCATCTATATCGCTATGACCAAAATACAATTAAGGGTTGTCCAGTAAAATTATAAAATGACTAGATGTAAAAAAAAAAAAAAAAAAAAAAAAAAAAAAAAAACAGCGCTGCGCTCTTAAATTTACACTACACTCGTTAACACAATAATTTCCTAAATGTACATATACAACTGTAGCAATTTTTATATAGATATATGTGTAAATATGGCATTATATGTCATATATATGGTATCACCTTACAGAACATGGATCATATCGTCAAAATGTCTTAACAATCTCAAGTTTCATTAATTTTGATAATCTGCTAAAAAAAAAAAGTGGATCTGCTTGCATCGATACACTGGATTTTCATTTATTAGATATGCAAGGGATTAATCTCTCTTGAAGTTTTGCATTAGCCTGTTATCGAGGTACTTACAAAATTTAACTAAAGAAGCAATCTGAAAAACCGGCCGTTTTCTGATAGTATGTGTTGACAGCATCTTTCATTACTGCCTGAGTTACTACAACTTTTTACTCGTATATGTTTTGGTCTGTGACTATAAGTCCAAAGTTCTGCTTAAAAAGTTCATAGGCCATTTTTATATCAAAGATCAAATATTCTTTTTTTCCCTCTGCTTATATTGTTAAAAGGTCTGAAGAAAACACTTTTGGCAGTTTTCTATTTGTCAGCTTTTGATGAAAAAAAAATATTTGGATGAAAGATATTATAATGGGTAAACCTCATTTCCCTCCTAAAACACAGATTTGTTTATCAATTAAAAAAAATTATCAAACCTAGCTCTACATAATCAAAGGGAATTGCTTTCTCTTATAACTGTGTATACTTACTGTAAGAACTGTAGAACTCTCTCCCAAATGCCTCACCTTTGAACAAGGCATATATCTAAAATAAAGAAAAACATATTTACCTACAAAAATGAAATGACAAAATAAAACTGTATGTACACATGCTTCTAATAATTCTGTGTATATGCAAGTTAACATTTAACCAGTGTCTAATAATAAATTAAGCTAATTGAGTGAAATCAACCAAAAACACACACACACATACACTACACACAAACAACATATTACCGATCATTAATATAAATCATACACATAAGGTTTACATAAAATGGTTTATGAAAATAAAAAGTAAATACATTGTATATAATCACAACAAATATATTTAATGAGCATACTGAATTTTGTGCCTGGTGCTGAATTCAATAAATTCCAAAAAGGGTGCTTTTTATAAGTTACATGCTTGTATGTTTACTAAATATCATTGTTAGTACTGATAACATGCAATAATATTTAGTATGAAACTTTCATGTACATGTAATGATTGAACTTGGAACATCTCAAAGATTCCCATTTATAAACATAAAAGGATGAGGGAATCTTTGCAATGGTTGTTTGCTACAACTACTCTGTAACTCAAACTGCTGAACTTATTGCAATTGCTTATAAAGAAGTCTATTAACTAAGAACTTTTCTATTTCAATGCACATGCTGCAACTTTTGTGTACCTTCCTCTAATATCTGAGTACAAGAAAGATGTTCTCTTTCTTTTCTGAAAAGTAATTGATCAAAGATGAACTTTTTGTGTACTGGTCTTCATTATTACCTGACCATTTTATAACTGTCAATAAAACCGTTATTTAATTTAAGAATATTGGCTTTGTGGGACAACTGTAATTGTTCATTAATTAATGACAAAGACGAACATGCACACTTAGGTATTCATATGTAAGTTCTACAGGAATAAATTAGTTTAACATCACATTGACAACAGAAAATAGCTGTTAAACAAAAAAGTGATTTTACCCAAAATTGTTAAAATATTTTTACCTTTTTGGGGTCTTTCCTCAAATTATATTCTACAGAGATCTGAAATCATTTAGCATGTCAAGTTAATAAAGATATTGTGAATTTGAGTACAGAAATATATGTGTGACATATAAAGAAAACATTTTCTCAAGAATATCTCTTTCAGATCCAATTTACCATTTCCAAGTAACTTACAATATGAAATAATAAAGCTGCATGACTGAAAATAATTTGAACAATTATAAAAATAGATTTTGTTGAACTTCATGTTATTGTAGCCCAACCCTATCCCCCGAGGTCATTAAATCTACGTGCACAACATAATAATGAAGCTTTCACTGAAGATTCCTTTTTTCTAGCCCTCAGTGGTTCTCAAGAATTTTTTTTAAAGATGTCAATAAATTTTCAATAATTCTTAATCATCTTCCATTGAAAGAGGGTGTGGCCCTTCATTTTGAACAAACTTTCTCTTTAACCAAGGATGCTTTGTGGAAAGTTTGGTTAACATTGGCCTAAGTGGTTATTGAGGAGAAGTCAAAAAACAACAAAATGTGATCAGGAAGCTCACTTATAGCTTTCAGCTCAGGTGAGCTAAAAACGTTTTTCTTTTACCTCCTTGGCCTCTTGGATATGATCACTGTCTATAGTTGAATGCAAGTAACATACACAGGTTCTATGGAAAAACTTTGGCTCAATACATTGCTCACAGTGAATCTTGGTTAAAAAAGAAAACACTGAAATTATTTTTTTTAGAAATTAAAATGTTTGAGTAATAATGATCCTACAATCATTTGATATTATACTGCTTAACAAATACATATCAACATTGGAGAAATTGTTAACTACCGGTACATGTAGCAAAATTTGTAAAATACAGGAAATGTAGCAGCAATTTAATTAACTTATTACAAGTAACTCAGAAATATTACCAATGGTCCCTTTGTAATTGATGCTTTTGTGAAACAATGCCTGCAGTAGCAATCCAAATCATCTGTTGATCAACAAGAAGGAAAATGAAGTAATGAAAAAAAATAATAAAAACGTACCTTTAGAATTTAATTAGAAAATGAATAATATGGTTATCATTTATGGATATATGTATGATATCTTATTCCTAAGCAATTACCACTGTTTTTTAATAGGAGTTGCCCAATGTTTTTTCTCGCTCGCATCATTTCACCCTTTTGGATATCAATATCCAAATCCTCGTCTTGAAGCAAACACTCTAGAAATTATAAATGAAGACAATTGTTTTCATTTCAAAAGAAATGTAAATAGAAGTAGAAACACTGCATGTTTTGCATTATTGGATTTGCACAATGGTTTAACTTCTGCTTTCACATGTAAAAAGTTGCCCCACAATCATACTGATACTTTCCAAATTAGTTATTTCTTAAAAATGATACACATTTCAAAGAAAGATTCCAAATTTAAGTTATTTCTTAGAGGAATAGGTTTAAGGGTCTGAAATAACAGCTCACTTTCCTTAACATCATATGAATTTCATCACAAGAGTATTTTAAATATATTTTTATTTGCAACAGTATTACATCTCTTGATGCATCATCTATGTGCAATTTTGGTCCATAAAGCATTTAGGGGTTTAATATTATAAATACTGGGAATTGACCAGTTCCAAAAACAGATTACTTCTTCCTGTATATAAAAAATATACAGTAAATGAGGCATCCAAAGAATGGTTGGTAGTGCAGTGTATTAGAATCCTTAGATGCATCATCCAAAAGAGTTTGGTCCGAGTTGGGATTATAACTTCTCTGGAATGGGCCTGGTTAATTAACTTATTATCCTGCCTGAGAAGCACCTTTCTTATCTTAGCTAAATACAAAGTATTATAGCTATTACCTTCAATACTATCACTCCACAGGATGTAGAATCTCTCTGACGTGGATGTTTTTTAGTATGGACAAACCACTCGGTGGTGGATTCCTCTATGCCCAAATTTTCTCTTCCAAATAAAAATTCTCTAAAATAATTAAAATAAGGACATAGTGGATAATACAAAATTACAATCTAAAATTTTACAGGTATAATTTAAAGACTTACTTCCACTTCTCTTCAATACGTCCAAGCCTGTGGTATGATTCTCCTAGTGGGTTGATGTAAAACAATTTATTCTTGGGTTCCACATACTGAAATTTTTTTTTTTTTGTAAAATGAATATAATACCACAATTATTGCATGATATACATCTTCTTTATAGATGGCTTAATCCCCTTACAAATTAATTTTAACATGAGCACAGCAAAGTGGAGCATCGATCCCTTTATTTTGCATCAGCAAAATTTTTTAGAATATTGCTTATTAAGGAATCACTCCAAAGCAAGAAAAACTCGTCTTTTTGTAATTTTTAAAGAAGAAAAAAAAAAAGAAACGAGAGGCCCATGGCCACATTGCTCACCTGAACACTTTGGCTAGGAGACAGCAGAAATCAGTTCAGTATTGAAAAGTTTAAATATAAAAGGGCGGGGGGGGGGGGGGGGGGGGGTAAACAAACTTGAATCTTCACTATCATAGAATGTTTCCAAATTTCTTCAATTTCTCAAGATTTTTCCTATACGTTTGATATTCTATTGTGGCCTTGCCATACCCCGGACATATGAGTTGAACACACTTGAACCTATACACTACATGAATATGTGAAGATGCTTCTGAATTAATATGACTAATCCTTGCTGTTATTGAGAAGAAAATTTTTATTGATATATCATTTATATCCCTTTGTAAAACTTTGATACCCTTTTGTGGCCCCCCTCTAATCCTGAGGGATTTGAACAAATTTGAATCCACAAGAAATGAGAATGCTTCCAAATAAATATGACCAATCATGGTTTTGCTGTTCTTAAGAAAAAGATTTTTAAAGATTTTCCTATGTATTCCAACATAAAACTTTGATTGCCCATTGTGACCCCAACCTATCCCTGGGGGTCATGATTTGAACAAAGTTGATTCTATACTACCTAAGGATGATTCCACATAAAAATTCATATTTTCTAACACATTGCTTCTTGAGAAGAAGATTTTTTGACAATGCCATTAATTTATCACCAAATCATAATTATCTCCCCTTGGAGAAAGGCTTGACCCTTCATTGAACAAACTTTAACCCAATTTACCCAAGGCTACTCTGCACCAAATTTGGTTGAAATTGGCCCAGTAGTTCTGGAGAAAATGAAATTGTGAAAAGGTAATGACAACAAAGCAGACAATGACAGACAACAGACAAATTTTTTTTATCAGAAAAGCTCACTTAAGCCTTCAATCAGGTGAGCTAAAAAGTATCAAATCATACTGAGTTATGCAAAGTTTGGTGATTAAGAACTATAGTATTTTTCAAATTTCATTTGCAATCAAGTTTGTACACAGATGAATCCAAAAACTAACAGATATACAAGAGTAGAATATTATTTTTAAAAGGTGTATCTCTTATGCAACTCGTGCCAAGGGATAAAAAGAGAAAAACAAAAACATGCTATCATTACAGTATGTATGACACAAATACAATTTTTTTTAAACCAATATGGTACTGTTTAAAATGTCATGATTATGTGTATGGTAAGCTCCTAATCATCAATTCTGACATAATACGGTACTAAATGCTTACAATGAGAGTCCAATGACAGGAACCTTCATTGAGTGCACCACAAATAATATCAAATTCATCCAACTTGGGCACCTATTATACCAAACAAATAAGTGCATGTTATCAATACAATATTTATAGATCATCACATAAATGTATAATCAACTAATTAAAACAGATAGATATATCAATGTCAGCCAAACCACGGTAGATGAAAAAACTCTAATTCCTTTAAAGCTAGATGTACTCAGTCTACTGTGAGAAGCTAACAAAATTATTCCTCTCTCCGCTTAAAAAAAAATGAACAGCTGCATCCAATGTTTCTCCATAAAAAAAGTCATAAAAAAGGACTGGACAAGAGTATTAAACTTTCACTGCCAGTGACCTTCAACCCATCCAATGAACTTTGGTCAAGGTCATGACACACCATAATTTATTATATAATTATGATCCACTATAGTAATTGCATGGAAAGATGGACAAAATATATTCCTGTATTTCACTCCCGGTGAGCTTTGCAGTGGGTATAATAATATAATCTGTTATGATTTATTTCAATATCTTAATTACTACAAATGCTTTATACACCAAAGAGAAACTCTAACAGTGATTACTTTCCATGATTAATATAACCAAATAATTCTGTTAAAGCAACATTTATTTAATAATCCGATAACTTAAATCTTTATCTTGCCTCTGTAAGATAGTCGTGCAACTCTTCATTCCCTTGAAATATTGCTGTCATTATAGTGCATTTGACATGATATACCCTCTTTTTCTACAATACACAGACATCAAGCATTAAAAAAGTGAGTCAATCATCTGCTGTCAAATATGTCATGTTCTACAGTAATTAAGGATGTGCATTTAATAAACACAAATGCTCTGAGAGGGGCCATTAATTTATGTGATAAACATAATGCACGAATTGAAAGGGTTTTATATTAACAGGGCTTCAACTCGTTTCTTAAACCCAGCAGAAACATCCCAAATAATGGCATTTTTTTTACCTTGGTTATAAAGAACTTGCTTATAGGGAAATGTCAGTAATAAAGAATTTATTACTTATCCCGCATCATTCTCCTTATCTGAATGTAATGAGTGTATGAATCTCTGTTATGATTAAGGAAGTAAATTCTTGATCCCATGCAGTGACTTCCTTATAATATCTAATTTGAATTAGTTTTAATGCATGTGTAGCTGCCTTTTTTATAACAATATTGAATGAATAATCACAAGAATTTCTCAATGTCAATCAAAGGGTTCCCTCTTAATAATTCAATTATTTCTTTGTTTCACACTGCATTCATTTTACATATTAAGGAACAAACATCTGAATTTACATAAAACTGCATGGGCACCATGACATAAATATACCAGTATAAACAAGGTCTTATGATTAAAGAGAGCAATGATTAAATCATATCCATATAAATATATCATATTTGTGCTACGTTAAAGAGCTGGATTGCACAACATGTTGGGTTGAGGATAAAATTTATAACTTCTTTGGTTTTAAAGCAATAAAAGCATTAGGTAAAAGTTTTTGAACAGGACAAAATGACAGATACTCAGATATCTATGACAAAAACAATATGCCCCCAATCTCAATCTTGGAATATAAAAAGATATACATAAACAAGATACCTCATGAGAAGAAGACAGCAGATACATGTATGCATCAATGACCTGGAAAAAAAATAATGAAAATTTAATGTCTTATTATTTTAATTAGCAAAAGGTACTATGAGTAAGCTCACAATAATACCATCCCCCCTTTTCCGCTGCAGTTTTTTTTTATTGTGCCTATTTGCAATTGTGTAACAGTGACCTTGAACTTGACAAAATAACCTTGGTCAAAAAAAATACATTTTAATCTTTGAGTGAAATATGGACATCCAATGTTTTTTTCCCTTAGAAAAAAAGAGAAGTCTGTGAGAAAATGCTCAATAATAATAACAAGAAATTTTGGAAATTAACCATTGTTGTTGAAAATTTCATTAAAAAAACCTCCCTAACTACCTACCCATTTCTGTTAATTCCTGAGTAGGGATAGGGCAAGAAAGAAAGAAAAGCATTTGGTTACAAGCCATGAAAAATTCATACCTCATCTGGAAGCATTGTTTTCAAACAATGAAAAGATCTGTCACTCAGTTTGTAGTGACCTATTTTACTACACAGGTGTCCAACTGCCTTTTTTGTCCACAAGCTTTCAACTGTTGGAAGCAAACTATATAAGTATAAGAGCAAGTATCCAAAAACTTATGTCTCAAATTTCTTAGAACTACATTAACATCCCATCAAAGTGGGTCAAGGCCAAATTAAAAATCTCGATTTATTGAGTTTGGAAAGATGGCAATGTTCATAGGGAATATTATTTCAACTACCTGTCTCATGTGGAAGAAGCTAAAAAAATACTTTCAAAAATTGCTTTGAAGCATCCATATTTCATTTGAAGCAAACAAATGTATCTAACATGCTATATTCAGAAGGAACATTTAACATAGAAAAGAAAGGATTTCCTTTAATAACACACCTGCGTTTTCACTCTTAAAGTTCTGCACACATTTATGTTCTCCAGCTTTCAGACTGTCGTCAGAAATCTCCAAATTCTTTTCTGGCTGCTATTGAATTAATATTAGAAAATAAAAGTACAACCTTTAATTACAAGACATTAAATACTTGTTTTTAATGAGTTAAAAAATGCCGAATACATACTGGATTTTCAATTAAGCACATCCTGCAAATCAGAGATTTTCTGGGCATATTCTCATATCCAATGCAGGCGTCAGTCCTGTGGAATGTTCTTGCACACTTTTCACATGCAATCTAAAAAAAAAAATATTCAAGCACAAGCTCATGAGTATGAGTGGCATTACATAACAAATAAAATATTTCATTTCACCACACATATATACACACCCAATTTTCCTGATTTGTACTAAATCCACAAGAAGGACAGGAATCTGTTTGATAACCTTGAAAAAAAAATGTTCAAGACTATAGTTCTTTCATTAAGGAAGAAAAGGTAACAATTTAATTGTACATGATCATAATATTACATACTTATACATATCAAGTTAAAAAAAAGCCCAAACAACTTGTCATTGCAAGTTTTCTTTGCTGCATGTTTTCAAAAACCCATTATATTACCTAATTATTTCTTTCAGTTTGGTGTCTATACTGACTATATGTCAATATTCTTTTACTGGTACATAATAAATAGATAACTATTATATGATTTATGATATAATGGAATTTTTATCTCATTATTGATGGATATGTCCATATACTCTTTCTTACATGTATTAATCAGTAATTTTCTTTGAAAAATAGCTAATTTAAACTTTGTGTCACTTGAAAATTTCTAATTGTATGGTAGGTGTCCTATTCTTACCACTGAACATCATCAGAGCTGATGCAATTTTTTCCCGTGCACAATGTAGTTCGGATTTTGTTATAATAATGTTCATGATTGGTTCCTCACTGAAATATCTTTCAGCAAACTGAAAAGGATCAATTATTTCATAGTATATATACTTGTGAAGTTAAATTATAAGCCGAGTAAGTTATTGACAACTAGGAAAGGTTCATTTTCAAAATAAATTAAACAAATTAAGATTAAAACTATTAATTTATCATTGACGAATCAATATAAAAACATTATCTTCATGCATTCAGTTATAGTCAGAACATTAAAACACACCATCAGGCAGTAAACTCCACAGTTGTAGCTGTCTTCCTGTTTGGAATGATCCACTGTGTGTACAATCCAGTCTTTGATTTCCAACTGATTGTACACCAATATCCTCTCATTTACGTAGAAACTGAAGAATATTTTTTTTTTTTATTTTTAATATCAAATTGTGCAAATCAAAGAAGACCTCAAAATTCAGTTGGGACAGCAATGAAAAATTCTTGGTCATAAAAGAATGATTAACTCCACATGCAGTCCTTAATTTGAATCTCTGTTAAATGTAACAATCACATGTATACCATCATGCTTATAATTCCATTTTGAAGTCTCAGCACCATATTTCATGCAGAATCAAAGCCATGCATGCATGCATACAAAGTTGTCAAAGTAATGGATATATGTATATGTTATGCTTTGATTGACCTGTTTGATAAAATAGAAAAAAATACATTGTTAAACTGATCAGAATTATAAATGAACATGTATTTATATACCCCATTTTTTACAAAACATTTTACTTTACAAACTTATTGGGTGGGGATTCATATTATGTGCCTATACTGGCCTTTGAATGTTCAAACCATGCATACACATATAGTATGTAATGTCTGAGTCACATGTACTTTCCAAGATAAAATACAATAAGTTCATGTACATACATGCATGTATGCATATAATCAATATAAAAAGATGAATATCCAAATACAGTACATGTCTATTACTAACACCAAACAATCAATAAAGGAATCATGCTCATTCTGACACCTTACCACCAGTTTCTTTTAATTTCTTCAATCTGTATTCTACTCTCCAACACTGGGTTGAAATAATTGATAATACCTTCTCCGGGATTTATTATCTAATAAAATATATCTAAAACTTTAAAGTATGTTTGTTTTGGAATGCTATATCTCAATTACTGTTTTTTTCTCAATTAAACTATTGTTTTAAAAATGTTTTAGAAAAATGAGAAAAAAAAGGTACCACAAGTGTCCAATGTTGGTTTTGACAAACAGCTCCAATTATTGCAGAATATCCATAGAGTTTCAACTGTTAAGTGCAGGAGTTCAATACTTTAAATACATCGTAATTTCAAACAATTTACAGATCAAATGTACATATTGCATGGTTTTACAAATTGAAGTTCTTATTAATCACTACCTTCCTACGGCAATTTTTCACTGAGAAGGTTCCGCTCATTATTTGGGTCATCGTCTGTGAGGAATACATGGTAATTTTGTTTCCTTTCTCAATTTCTTTTTGAACAATCAAAGACAAATAAGCATCAATAACCTGCAATGAGATTTGTTGGTTAATATTCTCTTATTTATATAAATTTGAAAGAAAATTGTGTAAGAATTCATATTACTCAGATCACAGAAAATCATAACTATATGCAAGAGAGAAATACTCACCTGATCTGTCAACCAGTTTATGCCGTGAAGAGACCTTAAATCATGGTCTGTAACAAAAAAAATTGACACTTTTCCAAAGATGTAACCGATACCATTTTCCACGTTCCAAACTTTCTTCAACTCCTTCAAAGCTGCAATTATCAAAAAATTCATAATATGTAACTCATTACCATTGCACTTTAATATGCTCATTGCAAAACTGTTATCAAAATGTATTTACCTTGATTCTTGTCCATTGTAGACATCTTTCCCCTTTTGCTCTCTTCCTGCATGTAACCAGGAAATTGAACATTCTTTTTTTCTTTTTGGTTAGACTCATTCAATGTTTTCTTCAAGATTCCTTTCACAGCTAGAATGAGTACAATGCAACTGATAATTCTTGGAATAATATTTTTATTATATACTTGACCAATGAAAGATTATAAACAATGTCTGTCATGAATGGTAAATTCTGGCTAAAATCAGAATGAATTTTTTTCCAACTTAAAATGTCTGATTTAAATGTACCTGGAACATGTATGTTTTCATCATCATCTTCAATAGTAATAACTTCCTCACTGCATCACTTTCTTCTATATAATTCAGAAGAATGAAACTAAATATAATTACATACATTTACAGAAAATGTAAACAAAAGCTTGGCTAGTACTTACAGTACATCGAAACCATCGTTGTTCATTGATGCCAAGTTTTACTGCTTGTGGATAATTTGAGCTTATTCACAATTTAAATAAATTATGTTAATTATTAATATTGGTTCAGTAAATCTTCAGTAAATCTTCTGTACATAACAGCTACCCATGTGCAAAATTACATACAAACAAGTAAAATGTAATGTATATAGACCCCCCCCCCCAAAAAAAAAAAATAAATTGATTTCTCATTATTGATATTTTAACCTACCATTACTTTCTGTTAGGAGGTCATCTACACCCTTTGAAGAATGATGATACCTCATTTTTTCAGCTGAGATACCATGTCTTCCAACCCCTTTTTTCTTCTTCTTTGACAGAGACAACCGCCTTATGTTTGATGGCTTTGTTGCAATGTGGGTCATCTTTTTCTCTGTGTTATCCAAAATAAAGTCTGCTGAGTCAGTTTTCTGAGACAAATTTCTTTTCAGCATTTCTACCTTTTGATGCAAATTTTGACAAACTACTCGCAAAATTTCATTATCCTTGCAGTTGTATGCATAATCTTTGATAATCTGACAGAAGCTATTTATGCTGCACTGTTGTTTTGAGAGTTTGGATTTACTTGGCAAGTTAATTTCATGAATTTGGGACTGTTCTTTGGTGGTAGTTTCTTTTTTAGTTTGGTCGTCTAACCCACTGATTCCCTCCTCGTTTTCCTGAACTGGGAAGGAGTTTTACTCCAAAAGAACATCTTTATCAAGAGTAAGGAAGGGATTGTTCCTGTACTCTGCAGGTAGTTGTTCCCAATGCCAGCCATTCACATGTCTAAATATTGTGCAGAGATGCTTGCATACCATATGATGTCTTGCCCAGTCTTCACAGTCACATGATGGTACAGGGAACTCTGTTGAGAAGAAGTTCACGCTATAAACCTGTGAACTTCCAGCTGTTTGACTTTTAACAAGAAAATGGCCATCTCCTATCTGATCAATATCATCTGCTGGTATATTGACAGATTCCTCCCATCTTTTGACACAGTGTTTGACCACATTTTTTGGCCTGTTTCTCAAAAAATCTGGTACACTTGCACTGTACATCTTTGCCTCTTCTGCTGCTGTCAAATTTTGTCTCACATACCTCAAATGAAATTCTAAATTGTTAATGCTCTTAAGTACATGTTAATTAGTTTAACAGTTATTTTAATAAGCATCATAGCTTCATTCAGATATTGATATTCAAAGCTTAATGTACATACAGATTGTTTGCACCAATTTAATTTTTGTTTACATAGTTTGCATTTCAAACAATAAAATATATTTTTCAATAAGTTTCCTTAGTATTGGTGACTCTCACTATATTTCCCATCTAAAATATGACCTACCTTTGGTAAGTATCAGGAAAAAAATCATTCCACAGCACAGTAAGAAGGTGGCAGAGGGATTTTGCTTTTTTGGTGTCCAGATACTCATATTTTAAAGACTTATTCTGTCTTTCTACACCATTGTTGGTATTTACGGATGTATAAAACCTTTTCTGACGAAATGCTTGAACCCATCTCTAAAAATGAAAAATTTAACTATGCTGCATGAATTATTTAGAGTAAAAAGCACACAAACAAAAAATATTCTCGTGTAATTGAAGACAAATAAGTAGGTTTATAATGTCTATAACCTTGTGTTTGTTCAGCCATCTGCCTTCAAACCATCTTCTGAGTCTGATGTTGTCCTCCCAAAACTTACTCTCCTGTACAAAATTTATCAAAATAATTCTGCTCTTTTGTCAATGGTCTATGTCGGTGAATGAAAGTTCATTTTAATCTGAAAATCTCTAGTATCATAGGAGTGGGTTTAAACATTGCTAGTATTATTCTTGGTACCATATTCAGGTTTGTCTGTATACAACAATTGTTTATTGGTATACATGTACACAAAGGAAATATATAGAGATACCAAATTTACATAATTATATATAATTATTGAATTTCTTTCTTTAATTATTTAATCACTTTCTGTCTTTTAATAAAGTTACCTGTAATTTGGACTTTGCTACTTCAAATTCTTCATTTGTTTTTGACTTTGCAATGGATCGCAGCAAACTTCAAATTTCGTCTTTATCCTTTCCAATATCATTATGGGAAGCTTTCAGCCAACGTTCCCATGCTTGCTCACGATGGAAATCACACAAGTATACGAATGCTTCTAAAATATCAGATTTAAATTATTCACTTCTTCAGAACATACTTGACAACGTTTTTTTTTCATAACAAAATGTTTTAAATTTTTTTTTAAATGGATGTGTGTGTTTGCATTATTGAATATATACACATCATATTAAAACTTCAATCATATGTATGATTTTATCTTAGAGAAAATAAAATATATCTATCATTAATCACATAGGAAATTGAATTCACATTGGTTAAAATGGTAATGATTTGAATAAACAAACCTGGAAACACAGATTCAATTGAATTTATTTCCTCTTCAGCATAATCGCACATGAAATATGCTGGCTCCCAATCTGGATTCCAGGCTTTGATGATAGATAGTGCTTCCTGGATTGAAAAACTGTCCTCTGTTTCCAGGATAAATGTTGCAACAGTCATGTAATTAACATTTGTTGGAACACAGAGGAAGTACAATGGCAGGGAATATTTGGTGGTACGATAGGTAGCATCCAGTAGGCAAATCTCATTGCCGTACCTCTTTAAAAGCTGTCTCTGCCATGGAGTTTGATGTACATATAAAAACTTATGGACAGCCATGTTTTGTCGATCATTCCTTATCATGAAGTCCTCATCAAGAAACACATTCTCATCAGGAACATCAGTATCATGATCTGGACATATATATATAATACATATATTAACATCTTTACATTGTATAGATCATCATTTCAAATTATAAATAATTATTTCCATTGCATTTCCTTCAAGAATTTGTCTAATACATTTGTCATTCCAAAATTTTCATCGGTAAATTTACCTGGTTCCTGGTCCTTTTTTATTCTGATGTAGAACCTTTCACCTTTATGCAATGATCGTTGCTCTTCCACCATTTCAACTACCAATTTCTGATAGAATTGAATAAATGGAAAATCTGTATTAATGCAATACATAAAGTTTCTTTAATTTACTCAAAAAAATCAGAAGTAAAATCTTTAAATAAAAATGAATTTGCTCATTAAGGTTTTGATAATTCATTCACAGATTACCTACCACCTCATTATTCAATGCCATATATTAATAGGCAACCATTCAAAAATTTTGGCCAAGGTTAAAGTTTTTCAAAAGTAGGTCAAAATTCCAAGGTAAAAATCATCAGATAAAAAATATTGGTATCAGAAAAAAATGTTTCGCTGCAAGGAAAAGATAAATGCTATATGAAAGATCTAGCACCAATAATTCATATGTTATGGTCAAGGTTAAAGTTTTTCACAAGTAGACTAAAATTCCAAGGTCAAGGTGAGAATGTAAAAAAATTTGGTACCAAAAGAAAGGTCTGGTCACATGGAATACATATGTAAAATATGAAAGTCCTAGGACCGGATCAACTGTGCGAAAGTTATGAACATGATTAAAGATGGGTAAATATTTTTCAGAAAGCATGTCGAATCCCAAGATGTCTAATTTGTTTGAACCCCAAGAAAGGACTTGTTCCAAGAAATACACATGTGAAATATGAAAGCCCTAGCAATTATTGTTGAAAAGTTATTGGCAAGGATAAAATTTAAAATAACCAGAAGTCTCTGATGAGACTGTAGCTCTACTGGTCTGTACATATAACAAAGTAGCACTTGGATTTGCAACATGCATTAATAAATAGAATTATGTATCTTAATGTAGTCTACTTCTGTGCCAAGTTATATTGAAATCAAACGAAAACTGTAGGAGTAGCATTTTGAAAGTATTTCACAGAAATTTCTATTTTTATTAACCACATCAAAAACTGAAATGCATATTATGTATCGTAGTGTATTCTAATTGTTTGCCAAATTAGATTGAAATCAGACTAAAACTGTAGGAGGAGTAACATTTTAAAGGGATTTCACAGAAATTTCTTTTTTTAGCAACAATGGCAACACTGTTCATCGAAATCAAAAACCGATGCATTAAATTATGTATCTCAGTATAGTCTTCTTGTATGCCAAATTATATTAAAAGCAGACTAAAACTGTAGGAGGAGTAGTGTTTTAAATGAATGTCACAGAAATTTCTATTTTTAGTAACCATGGCAACATCGTTCATCGAAATCAAAAACTCAAACTATGTATCTTAGTGTAGTGTAGTTGTGTGCCAAGTTATATTGAAATCAGACCAAAACTGTAGGAGGAGTATCATTTTGAAAAATTGTTTACGGACAGGCAGACAGACGGACGGACGACGGACACCTTACTATCGCATAAGCTCTTCTGGTCCCTGACCAGTAGAGCTAAAAATATGCCCCATAATCTTTAATTCCATAAAAAGTAGTTTAATTGTAAGGCATCAGTTAAGGTCTTGACATAAGACAGTGTAGTATAAATAATAGTAATACCATTAATAATTGTCTTTATTTACCTCTCCTTTCAGATGGTTTCTATGATCTTTTACATCAGGAAACTGTACATAAAAACGATGTTCAATTTTCTCTACTTGTGAATTTTTCAGGTCTTCTTTAAGATTCTTAACCAGTTTCCTTTGATGATAAGGTGTGTTTTCTTTACTTGAAAGCTTTAAATTATATAAAAGTAAATTGTGTCTTGTATTCATTTAAAATATTATACAGCAAAACTTACATCAACACATAAACACTGAACATATTTACACATTACATTTATTGATACAATTTTTAGTGAGTCTATAATACAAATTAATACATACCAAATAGCTTGAAAACTTCACAAAATGACGAATTTTTATTCGAACAGGACAAGCTTTCTTTTTGCTGTTCTGCACCAATCTACGCTTTCTTCTATATGCGTGGTCAGACTACAAAAAAAAAAGAGCTAAGCTGAGATAAAGGTTCAGTGACTGGGTTATGTTAAACAGGGACTGGGTTATGATCCTCATTGACTGGGTTATGTTAAACAGTGACTGGGTTATGTTAAACAGTGACTGGGTTATGTTAAACAGTGACTGGGTTATGTTGTTCAGTGACTGGGTTATGTTGTTCAGTGACTGGGTTATGCTCCTCAGTGACTGGGTTATGTTAAACAGTGACTGGGTTATGTTCCTCAGTGACTGGGTTATGTTAAACTGTGACTGGGTTATGTTAAACAGTGACTGGGTTATGTTGTTCAGTGACTGGGTTATGTTGAACAGTGACTAGGTTATGTTGAACAGTGACTGGGTTATGTTAAACAGTGACTGGGTTATGTTAAACAGTGACTGGGTTATGTTGAACAGTGACTGGGTTATGTTAAACAGTGACTGGGTTATGTTAAACAGTGACTGGGTTATGTTCCTCAGTGACTGGGTTATGTTAAACTGTGACTGGGTTATGTTAAACAGTGACTGGGTTATGTTGTTCAGTGACTGGGTTATGTTGATCAGTGACTTGGTTATATTAAACAGTGACTGGGTTATGTTAAGCAGTGACTGGCTTATGTTAAACAGTGACTTGCTTATGTTGTTCAGTGACTGGGTTATGTTGAACAGTGACTGGGTTATGTTCCTCAGTGACTGGGTTAGGTTAAACAGTGACTGGGTTAGGTTAAACAGTGACTGGGTTATGTTGTTCAGTGACTGGGTTATGTTGAACAGTGACTGGGTTATGTTGAACAGTGACTGGGTTATGATCCTCGGTGACTGGGTTATGTTGAACAGTGACTGAGTTATGTTGAACAGTTACTTGGTTATGTTAAACAGTGACTGGGTTATGTTAAACAGTGACTGGGTTATGTTGTTCAGTGACTGGGTTATGTTGAACAGTGACTGGGTTATGTTGAACAGTGACTGGGTTATGATCCTCGGTGACTGGGTTATGTTGAACAGTGACTGAGTTATGTTGAACAGTTACTTGGTTATGTTAAACAGTGACTGGGTTATGTTAAACAGTGACTGGGTTATGTTGTTCAGTGACTGGGTTATGTTGAACAGTGACTGGGTTATGTTAAACAGTGACTGGGTTATGTTAAACAGTGACTGGGTTATGTTAAACAGTGACTGGGTTATGTTTTTCAGTGACTGGGTTATGTTAAACAGTGACTGGGTTATGTTGAACAGTGACTGGGTTATGTTGAACAGTGACTGGGTTATGATCCTCGGTGACTGGGTTATGTTGTTCAGTGACTGGGTTATGCTGAACAGTGACTGGGTTATGTTAAACATTGACTAGGTTATGTTGTTCAGTGACTGGGTTATGTTGTTCAGTGACTGAGATATGTTGAAATGTGTCTGGGTTATGTTGAACAGTGACTGGGTTATATTAAACAGTGACTGGGCTCTGTTAAACAGTGACTGGGTTATGTTGTTCAGTGACTGGGTTATGTTGTTCAGTGACCTGGTTATATTAAACAGTGACTGGGTTATTTTAAACAGTGACTGGGTTATGTTGAACAGTGACTGGGTTATGTTAAACAGTGACTGGCTTATGTTGTTCAGTGACTGGGTTATGTTCCTCAGTGACTGTGTTATGTTCCTCAGTGACTGGGTTATGTTAAACAGTGACTGGGTTAGGTTAAACAGTGACTGGGTTAGGTTAAACAGTGACTGGGTTATGTTGAACAGTGACTGGGTTAGGTTGAACAGTGACTGGGTTATGATCCTCGGTGACTGGGTTATGTTGTTCAGTGACTGGGTTATGTTCCACAGTGACTGGGTTATGTTAAACAGTGACTGGGTTAGGTTAAACAGTGACTGGGTTAGGTTAAACAGTGACTGGGTTATGTTGAACAGTGACTGGGTTATGTTGAACAGTGACTGGGTTATGATCCTCGGTGACTGGGTTATGTTGAACAGTGACTGGGTTATGTTAAACAGTGACTGGGTTATGTTGTTCAGTGACTGGGTTATGTTGAACAGTGACTGGGTTATGTTAAACAGTGACTGGGTTATGTTAAACAGTGACTGGGTTATGTTCCTCAGTGACTGGGTTATGTTAAACAGTGACTGGGTTATGTTAAACAGTGGATGGGTTATGTTGTTCAGTGACTGGGTTATGTTGTTCAGTGACTTGGTTATATTAAACAGTGACTGGGTTATGTTAAACAGTGACTGGCTTATGTTAAACAGTGACTGGCTTATGTTGTTCAGTGACTGGGTTATGTTGAACAGTGACTGGGTTATGTTCCTCAGTGACTGGGTTATGTTAAACAGTGACTGGGTTATATTAAACAGTGACTGGGTTATGTTAAACAGTGACTGGCTTATGTTAAACAGTGACTGGCTTATGTTGTTCAGTGACTGGGTTATGTTGAACAGTGACTGGGGTATGTTCCTCAGTGACTGGGTTATGTTAAACAGTGACTGGGTTATATTAAACAGTGACTGGGTTATGTTGTTCAGCGACTGGGTTATGTTGTTCAGTGACTTGGTTATATTAAACAGTGACTGGGTTATGTTAAACAGTGACTGGGTTATGTTGAACAGTGACTGGTTTATGTTCCTCAGTGACTGGGTTATATTAAACAGTGACTGGGTTATGTTGTTCAGTGACTGGGTTATGTTGAACAGTGACTGGGTTAAGTTCCTCAGTGACTGGGTTATGTTGAACAGTGACTGGGTTATGATCCTCGGTGACTGGGTTATGTTGTTCAGTGACTGGGTTATGCTGAACAGTGACTGGGTTATGTTAAACAGTGACTAGGTTATGTTGTTCAGTGACTGGGTTATGTTCCTCAGTGACTGTGTTATGTTCCTCAGTGACTGGGTTATGTTAAACAGTGACTGGGTTAGGTTAAACAGTGACTGGGTTAGGTTAAACAGTGACTGGGTTAGGTTAAACAGTGACTGGGTTATGTTGAACAGTGACTGGGTTAGGTTAAACAGTGACTGGGTTAGGTTAAACAGTGACTGGGTTAGGTTAAACAGTGACTGGGTTATGTTGAACAGTGACTGGGTTAGGTTAAACAGTGACTGGGTTATGTTGAACAGTGACTGGGTTAGGTTAACAGTGACTGGGTTATGTTGAACAGTGACTGGGTTATGTTGAACAGTGACTGGGTTAGGTTAAACAGTGACTGGGTTAGGTTAAACAGTGACTGGGTTATGTTGAACAGTGACTGGGTTAGGTTAAACAGTGACTGGGTTAGGTTAAACAGTGACTGGGTTAGGTTAAACAGTGACTGGGTTATGTTGAACAGTGACTGGGTTATGTTAAACAGTGACTGGGTTATGTTGTTCAGTGACTGGGTTATGTTAAACAGTGACTGGGTTATGTTAAACAGTGACTGGGTTATGTTAAACAGTGACTGGGTTATGTTTCTCTGTGACTGGGTGTGTTCCTCAGTGACATGGTTATGATGTTCAGTGACTGGGTTATGTTGTTCAGAGACTTGGTTATGTTGAACAGTGACTGGGTTATTTTAAACAGTGACTGGGTTATGTTGTTCAGTGACTGGGTTATGTTGTTCAGTGACTTGGTTATAGTAAACAGTGACTGGGTTATGTTCCTCAGTGACTGGGTTATGTTAAACAGTGACTGGTTTATGTTGTTCAGTGACTGGATTATGTTGTTCAGCGACTGGGTTATGTTGAACAGTGACTGGGTTATGTTAAACAGTGACTGGGTTATGTTGTTCGGTGACTTGGTTATGTTGTTCGGTGACTTGGTTATGTTGTTCGGTGACTTTGTTATGTTTCTCTGTGACTGGGTTATGCTGTTCAGTGACATGGTTATGCTGTTCAGTGACTGGGTTATGTTGTTCAGTGACTAGGTTATGTTGAACAGTGACTGAGTTATGTTAAACAGTGACTTGGTTATGTTGTTCAGTGACTGGGTTATGTTGTTCAGTGACTGGGTTATGTTAAACAGTGACTGGGTTATGTTCCTCAGTGACATGGTTATGTTAAACAGTGACTGGGTTATGTTGTTCCCCAGAGAATGGATATACCGTAGCCCAACTGGTTTAGTTCTCATAAAATGTAATGTGAAACCCTAGACAGTGGGTTATCCTTCTCTGTCCACATCTTTGCCTCATTATTAGTTTATTAGAAGTAGAATAAATAATGCATACTTACATCTTCTCTTGCTTTGCTTTGTTTCTTTTGGTTGTTTCGTTTGTCTCTGTCATATCCCTGGTGACATTCCAAGATTTTTTTGCCCATAATAATGAAAGGGATAGCATCATATTCTATATGGGGTTCAGCATTTTCCTGTGTGTCCACAAATCTGATATGGGATTTATCAATCTCTCCTACATCTACAGAAATTGCAAAAGAATTTTCAGTGTAAATTGGTATTAACAAATGTGAATCTGATAAAGGGGGGGGGGGGGGGGGGGGTGTTACTTTGAACAAATACATAAAAAAGTTTTTAAGTTCAACTTCTCAACTTTTCTGGAGAATAAGTTGAGAAGTTTTTAAAATGTTTACAACACCCAAAACACCAACAACACAGACAATGGACAAATTTCAATCACAAAAGCTCATGTGAGCCTAGAATGGGGATAGTTATCTTCCTATTACTTGTTTGACCCGCGTGGTTTCGACATAAATCCATGTTCGACACAAGTGGTTTTGTTCTGAAGCAATTAATTAACACTTGCAACAGTTTCACATTTTCTTTTTGTCTACATAGGATTTTTTTTATCGACAATGCATATTTTAATTATTAATTTAAAAGCTATTATGTTATCAATATACAGCTACCCATGTACTTACCTGTGAGCAGGTCAAAACCACTTAATAGGTCGTAACCATGCAGGTCAAACACGGAATCAAAATGTAACCACCCGACACCATGAGTCTATGGTTCAGGTGAGCTTAAAATGGTTACAATAATGAGAAGATTCAAGAA